AGCAAGAAACTACCCTAAATATTTGCATAATTGAACAAATAAACATACATGCATTGTAAAGGCTTCGATCATCTTTCAAAAGCACCAAATATCATCAAAACATATTTGGTATTTTTAATTTAATTGAAGAAAAGGCGGAAATTTCATATCTATGAAAATTTCATGATATGGTGCAACAAAAAAATTCATATAAAAAAATTTAATCAATCATAAATAAACATGCCAATTTTATTTGACATATGAAGCCTCAATGAGCGAAATAGATAACTGAATCTGATAAAAAACAACCAATAAATGGACAAAAAATCTGTGTTTTTGGGTAGAGCACAAGTTCTCGGAGTAGCAGCTTTTCAGGCAAAAATAAGCCCTTGATTTTTTGTTTTCTGAACAAATTAAAACTTGAATCTAATGAACACTTCAAATAGACCCCTCAAATTTCATCAAGAACCATTAGGTATTGAGGAGATTATTGAAAGAATGACGGAAATTTTCAAAAAACTAAAAAATCCGTCATTTCAATCTAAGAAACTCATTTTTTTTTCAATGTTTAAATCCAAATTACTTGTTTTATATCAATTATATAGTGATTAAACCATTAAAACACGAAAAAAACAAAAAATTGACAACAAACCGAATTAAAAAAGGTGCAAAATTGGATTCACAAATTTCCTGCTACAAATAACGGTCTCTATTTCAAAATAACGTTGTTATTTATACGGTGCCGTTATTTTCTAAAAAACGCCGTTATATCGGCAAACCGGTCTGGTTAATTGAAAACCAGCCGGTTTTATAAAAACACAGCCGGTTCGACCTTGAACCAATCGGTTTTGTGGCCAATGTTTTTTGGATAATGCCATCTTGTGAGATGTACCGTAAAACCGGCCCTAACTAGACTCGCCACCCCATCGGTAGCGATCTAATCAGCCATGTTTGGTTCAGACCAACTGGTTTTGTGAACATTGGAAAGAGTTTAAGAAATAAAACAAACAACTATAGAGAAACTTTTCCGGAGGCCGGGCCCTTAGACCCGACACATGGATTTGTGGCCCAAATTAGGCAAAAGGGATGAGTCAGTACTATGTTCTACTTGAGATATTGCTGGTCTAGAAATAGTTTCTTGAACTTTAGGGAGAGAAGTCTAGGAATGTTCTTCGAGGACATGCAAACTACAAACATGTCACCGAATAAAATTTGTTTAATTTTTTTTCAAAAATATCTTTAAAAGATTTTCAAATAAAGGACATCCATCCACCTCAACTAGCAACTAACGTCATCACACTGTCACTGCCACTTGGTCACGTATCCCACTCAATCAGGGGCAATTAATGTGACCCCAAGCTTTTTATAAAAGTGAATTCTTCTTAAAGTTTTTGATGCGGGAGAATTCTCACTACTTTATGCGTGCAACCTTATTAACATGAGAGCACATAAGGTATAAATTGCATTTTTCTTGATGTGGCAGCTTCCAAACCTTTATGCATGCAAACTTACCATTAATAATATTAAGTATAAAAACCTCGTTAGTACAAAATGATGTGGCGCTGCAAAGGGACCAAGCGTCCCACCAAACCCAAATATATATGCAAGAGCTCTCTTAAATAGAAGATTAATTTGAGAAAAATATATTATGGGCAGAAAAATTTAAGAGCACTGCTTGTTTTTTAAATTATTTTAGCAACTCAAATATTGCTTAAAAAATATACTAGCAATTTAAAGTATTTTAAACTAATTACGTTTATTATAAAAAGTATACAAACAATTCAAAATATACATGTAAGAGCCATCTTGTTTTTTGAATTACGTTTAGTATAATATTATAATTAATAATTGTTGCTGGTATAAGACCAAGGGGCTAGATTCTTAGCTGTAAATTTTTTTCTATTGTATTAAAATATAAAGCTTTAAATACATGAAGAACTCAATACAAAATCATAGTACATGAATTTCAGCCTTCAAACTTGGTTTATACCAACCTTAATAAACAAAATTACAACTCTAATAGGTCCCTTACATATCCCTTTATCAATACAATTAAGCTCAATACAATGTCCAAATACTCACAACGTACATTTCTACAACATATTACATGACTTATACTCAAATTCATCGCTCTATCAAAATTACATAATGATCTCTTCTTCAATCTTCATCCTGATCATATGTCACATTATCTTATGCACATCATATGCTTGATCATAATAATACAATGAGATCTCAATCCACATAAAAAATAAAGTGTAACATTGAAGCTCACACTACAAGATTATAAGAGCTATCTCAATATTCACATACTGTACTCAATTCTATAAATCATAAATCACTCAATGACTGTAAATATATCAAATTAACATACAAACAAAAATAGAGAAGCAATCCTTGTGCTAGGCCCACAATCGGGGATTTTGAGGACTTAAATTTGTCCTAAAGATGAGTGCACAAGTGGTTAATTTATCTCAAGGGTGTCCATCAAGTTTGGAAAGCTTATACACATCTACAAACACTTCATATAGTCCATAATCAATGATAAAATCAACCCACAATAGTTTGCAAAAGAACGGGTGAGATCCGATTAAAACTGAGCAAGATAGAGCAAAACATGTTGTATAGTCCACCAGAGCTCCAAAACAAAATTGCATGCAAAAGTGTGGACTCTAAATGATTCAAAGAGGTAATGGGTATCTAGAATTTGAAACTTGAGTATAAGAAATGTACCAAAAATTTATATACAAAAAATCAAAGATAAACCATGCTCAATCAAAGAATCACCAATGTATGAAGCTTATACCAAAGTGGATGACTACCCTATAAAAGGTAATCATACAAATCACATGAAGTAAAAGATAAAAGGATTACAAAGCTACTGTAACTAAGAATTTAAAACAACCTTTGAAGTGGAATAGGGTGAAGAACAATAGTGAAAACTCGATAGAAGGTTACCTTGATGATGGCTTAAGACGAACTAGATCTCATGTAGTGAATGCTCACCCTAAAGCTCCAAGCACGATAAATGGAATGCAAGTTCTACAATGGTTGTTGCAAAAAGCTCATGAGAGCTCTCTCTCTCTCTCTCTCTCTCTCTATGTTCCTTCTTGCTTATGAAAGTTCGTTTTTCAAAATTAGGTTGGGTTGGACCACAAGATTGTATTTATATGAAGTAAGTATGATTAAATCTCAATTTTTGAGCACATCATCAATGGCACATGAGAGACTAATTATCCCTAGCCATCTACCACCAAGATCAATGGATGATATTTGCCATCATTATCACCCACTAAGACCCTAGGTCAAAGCCACATTTACGTTATTGTTTACAACCCCATACTTTTTTTTATTTCAAATATGTCCAAGTATACTTACAAAAATGCTCTCAACATTTAATAAATCCATGAGTGTAGAGATTGTTCAAGGGCAAAGAAAAAACAAAAAAAAAAGTGTCATTGCATGGGAAAGGCAAAAAGAGGGTTGTGACACCACCAATAAGATTAGCCCAACCCACACCTTCACATGCACTCCGCACCTTCACATGGGTTACACCAATGATGTGCATCTACATGAAATAATCACATACAATGTAACCTATGTGGATATTAATTTTAATAACAATGCTTATTTCAAAAATTCCCTTGGCTTCACAGAAGCCAAGTATATCACATATGTGACAATTAACCATGTCATTAAAAATGTAACTCTAAGTTATAACCAAATAACATAAGGTTTGGAAATCAAATTAAATAATCAAGTGTCAAAAGGGGATCCATCCCCAAATTAGAAGAGCGCCCAATGTAAGGGGCTCATGGCGCCACGTGACCACCCTATGGCCACTTGGGTGCCACGTGACGTCTTTATGGATGTCCTCATTTTGAATTTAACCCAAACAATTTTTAAAATCACATTTTCGATGATTTAAAAATTATGAAAAACACTCCAAAAATCCCATTAAATATTTGAAACATATTTACATATTTTTACATAATTTCTCATCATAATTAAATCGGACTAAAGGTATATGTGAGATCTCAAGGCATTGACTTAGTAATGTGAGTACTCCACTGGGTTAGTCCCGAATGATGTTCCACCGGTGTCTCAAGTTGACTCAGCAGACTTGTGCTCTACAGTTTATAGCAAGAACACATAATTGGTCACATCAAAGTTACTGAGCCAGAGCTTCCCACCATCTGGCTTCTCAATAGATTACAAGTGCACCCCTGTGAGACATTTTACTACTTTATGACAATGATCATCTCAAAGCACGTGTACTAGCTCTTTTAAATCGTATAATACTATAGAAGAGTTGTTTCCCCATACGAATGTGGGTGCACATGCCATGGAATGGTCTCGTGTTAGGATACGGGCTCATGTCCCGTAAGCCATGACCATTCCATACATGACCAACTCAAAATCAAACACTCGGGTTTTATTGTTCTCAATTTGGTATTTTCAAACGCTAGTTTATCACATCAACTATGAGACATTCTAACATATATAGTTAAGGTGACCCTAACACCTTCCCAAGAGATTATTCTCTCCAAAACATAAGCTCTCAATGCCTCATAAAATTCGAAATAATATGAATCTGGGCCCAATACATCAAGCACCTAGATTCAGTCTCTCTAGCTCCATTGAGTATAAGACTCTTGGCTGTAAGCCTTTGAAAAGCCCCATAGCCAACAATACTTATACTAATTATATTGATAACAAAATCTTATATATGATAAGTGATCCAATGCAACGGTTCTATTATAGTAGAATGAAACAGTGATGTGGCTTTATTTTAGTCATCGGATCTACTTTAATCTAAGGGTTCAACGAAAGTTATCATACAAACTACAAATTTTTAATTTGAAATCAAATTTCAAATCCCTCTTTAGGCACTTCTAACCACCAGTCTCTCTCTCTATGACGAAAGGGTGCTCTCTCTCTCTCTCCATTGTGACCACTGTGGGTTCCCTCTCTTTGTGCGAAATTCTTAGAGAGAGAAAGGTAGAGAGAGAATGGAGGGAGGGCAGGGGGGGAATGGGAAGAGGTCTAGTGAGAGAGAGAAAGAGAAGAAACTTTAGAGAGAGAAAGAGACCAAGTAAAGTCCTTGGGGTCAGAGGCAATTTCTGCGAGGGTTTGTTATTAGAGTGACACCAGTTGGTCTTTTGGCTTTATTCATGGCCTGGTTATATGGGGCATTGTTTTGTAAGGCTGGTTTTCGCTGAATGGACATGTGAGTATGTTCTCTTAAATTCCTTCAAGAATTAGGAAGTGCATGCTAGTAAAACTTGGTTATTAGTTGTTCTGGTATATCTGCTTAGTAGTTGCTCTTTATTTTCAATTTTGAGCAGATAATTAGTTATTGGTACTTAGATTTTGATGTTAAAAAAGGAGAGCAGCCATCAGTGGTGATGTTTGCTATTAGTGACACCTCATTAGAGCCTTTGTTCAGTACACTTGCATTTCCTTGGCCTGATAAATTTGTTTCCCTGCACCCATTATGCCCGAACTTGAACCAGAGGATGATCAAACTGATGAGGGCCATTTGAGCTTCAAATAATAGTGGGGCTGGTTTGGCATATGACGAAAGAGAGAGAGAAGATGAAGAAGATCTAAGGTGCTCTGTTTTTTTTTTGTAGCAACAAAAGCTTGAACTTTTGAAAAAAAGTATGTGAATATGCCTCAGTTTCTTGGGTTTGTCCCCTCTCTCTCTCTAAATTTATCTCTTGGAAAAACTCGATTTTGAATTCGTTTGAGTCTCTCTCAAACTGGTTTTTAGAGCTTTAATAAAGAAAACTCTCCAAATTGACCGATAAATGGTTGACACTACGTCACTGCAACCTTCTTAGGTTGTTGCATTTGCAGATGCTCATGGGAAGATATATGAATTACAAGACCCGCTTGAACATCAGTTTCAATGTTGGTTGAGGTACATGTACATCAGTTTCAATGTTGGCAGCTTCAGGTACATGTACATCAGTTTCAATGTTGGTTCTCTTTGGTCTTGTGCCCTATCAATTCACTTAGCTTGCCAATTTTCAAGCTGCATTTTTCTTGACAGCCTTGTGATGCTGAAAGTGAGCAAGATTTATAAATGACTAAAAAAAGCGGTGTGCTTAATATAATTTGCCTTGTTCAAGCGCATTCTTCTTGACAACTACATTTTTCTTGACAATTGCTTTTTTCTTGCATAACAAACGGTGTGCTTTATATTGAAGCTGTTTTTTTCTTGATAGCCTTGTTCCCTATCAATTCACTTAGTTTGTTTGTTTTTATAAATGAGCTGATCCCCAACAACATTTAAATTGTCCTGAAAGTGAGCTAGATTTTAGGAATATCCTTCCAATTGCTATTCACATTTCCCCTGTTATCAAGTGGGTTCATTCTTTCTACCTATCTTGATTAATCAAATGGAAACTTGCTCTCCTTAATTAAAAGAGTTGAAAAGAAAAGATACTCAGGTTGGTTAAATTTCAAGCCAATTTGGGGTGTGTGTAAGTTTTTTTGTATTGCCATGAATCACCAATTTGATTGTCCTATTCTTTTATGCCCTTATTTCTTGGTGTTATGTTTCTTAGGAACTTGATTAGAGGAAACTTTTGAGATGTGGGGCTAGTGTCTCAAATTCTAATTGATTTGGTTTGCCCCTAAAATATGTTTTTGTTGTCTTAGAGGTTCAATTATGTGGTACTCACTAAGTCGAATTTCTACCTGTATCTGATGGTTTTACTTATATTTGATCACAAGGATGAGGTAATTGTGTATCTTGACTGTGTGTTGAACTCTACTTATACAGGGTTAATTTAGCCATTTTTTCTTTGTTTTGCTTGTCATGTAGTTCTTTTGGGTTTATTGAGTTCTCATCCAGATGCTAATCCATAACTCTCTACTCAGGGTTGGGGCAGGCCCAGTTGATGATTTTCATTTGGTGGGCTTGCCGGACCACTATATTGATCTTTTTAAGCTCTATGATCCAGTTGGTGGGGACCACTTCAACATATTCGCTATTGGCCTAAGGACTACCGATTGAATCGTAGTTGTTAGCCATGGATATGCGTGGGAAGTGAAAAACCCAAGGAGCTTGGGGTTTGAATAAAATAATGAGTGAAAACGATTAGAAACGTAGACGGAGGTCAATGCAATTGACATAAAGGAGTGGAAGTTAATTGTAATTGGTTTGAGAGTTCATTGGAGTGAAAGTTCATTGTAATTGGATTATCCAGTACTTGTAAAAGTTCAATGCCATTTTTGTAATTCGTTTCCTAGACTTTGAGGAATTGTTACTACAATTTTTATTTTACATGAATGCTACAATTGAAGCACTGACTCTCCATTAGTAAAGTTGTGATTCTAATAACTTTATCATTTCAACAAGGGTAGATTCATTGGATTACACATGGCTGCTACTCAAAGTTTTGGCTGGTTCTACTCTTATGTGATTTCTTTATCCTTATGAAATCTAATATCTTCCATAGATGGGGGTTGGATGGATGGTCTTCACAGTGGGTTGGATGGATGGTCTTCACACAATTTTACAGAAATATGTTGTGCATGTGTAACCTGAATGACCATTGAGCTGCAAGCATTAGTTTTAACTTCTTTTAAGAGAGACCTGATGCCAATGCGTCCCTTTTGTATGAGTGGAACTACAATAAAACTAGTAAATGAGAAGACCAGTGTTCACAATTGTATAGACTAGTGTTCATTGAATTTATTGATCCACTCAGAATCCAATTCAAAATTCATTATAATAGAATTGACATTTCTCACCCTCATTATGTTGCATGCCAATCATTAAATACCCCAACTATTTAGATCCATGTGTGCTCATTATCAAAGGCATATTTGAAAATGATGTCAATAAACCATTGAGCTGCAAGCATTAGTTTTAACTTCTTTTAAGAGAGACCTGATGCCAATGCGTCCCTTTTGTATGAGTGGAACTACAATAAAACTAGTAAATGAGAAGACCAGTGTTCACAATTGTATAGACTAGTGTTCATTGAATTTATTGATCCACTCATAATCCAATTCAAAATTCATTATAATAGAATTGACATTTCTCACCCTCATTATGTTGCATGCCAATCATTAAATACCCCAACTGTTTAGATCCATGTGCCCTCATTACCAAAGGCATACTTGAAAATGATGTCAATAAACCATTGAAACATAGAGAAACCATTCAATAGAACCAACAATGTCAAAATACACCAAAAAAATAATCTAAAATTTCAAATGTTGGGGTGTTAAAGAGGACTGTACTCTATTTACTGCAAAATTATAATTGTTGGAGGCCACATTAACAAAAAATGGTGCTTGAGGCAACATTTTGTACAAAAAATGACACCCCTTGAAAAATGGCAACATGTACAAAAAAAATGGTGCTTGAGGCAGCACTCTTTACAAGAAGTGATAATGAGAGATGACAAGTTCCACCAAAAGAGCAATTTTTTGAGAACAAAAAGTGGTGCTAATGACAGATCCTTCAGTTCTTCTTGATAAGTGGAATTTCATAAGAACAAGAGATCACAAGTTCCACCAAGAGTAATTTCTTGAGAACAAGAAGTGGTGCTAATGAGAGATCCTTCATTTTTTCTTGATAAGTTGAATTTCATGAGAACAAGAATCACAAGTTCCACCAAAAGAGCAACTTCCCACAACATGCGATTGGAATTCACACTTAAGATCACAAAACCGGTTTACAGGATTAGTTAACAATACAGTCGAACAATTACAAATTTATTAACAATTGAAAATGATGGATTTAAGAAAGGGGTCAGTTTAAAAACCATTTCATTTGCATTCTTCGGTATTCAGTGTACCCCTCAGAGTTGGGCAATTCCTCTTATCCTGATAGCTACCTTTGCACATGGTACATTTCCTATTACTATTTTGTGTATTCTCCAAGAAGGATTTCAACTGGTGCTTAGGAGCCCCTTTTGTATTCATTGGTAGGGGGTCAAGCACTCTCTGATTGTTTATTAAATTTCCTTCTTGACTTACATTAACATTTAATTGCAAACGTTAGGAATCTTTTGGGCTCGTTTTGTCGATATTTTCTTTCACAATTGCAACTCTCTTCAAGTCCTCATCAAGAACATGCATTGCTTCATGAAATGTTTCCTTATACATGGCTCCATTCTCTACAAAGTTTGTTGCCTTTCTGTACAATTCACTGTATTGTGCAGTCAAGGATTCATGCAAATCAACTTACATTGTATGACCATGTTCATCTATTACACACCCTTCCTTGGCAATTTTTGCCCATCGCTTCAAGATATAACAAGGTGGGATTTTAAAAATGTTTTCAATTTGAGAACAATTATAATGTGTCTACAAAGTAATCCAATGAACTCAAACAATTGCTCAACTACAAATTGCTTTGGTTTCAGGTACATTTAATGTAACGATGAATACCCTATTCTCTTCATCATATTTTGAAACTTTAAATACAATGATTTCCCCATCATTCTTTGATTCTATTGTAACATGCACAATATTGCGACACAATTCCTCTTGGAAATTGTCAAATACTGCTCTGGTATAAATGCAAGTTGCTTCTTTCTCTATTGGAAAATAAGTCCTTAAAACCCGATGTTTGTGAATTGTTTCAAAGTTTGCATCTCTCTCCTTCTAAACCGACTATTTAATGCAAGGGCAATTCTCAACAAATTCTTTGAGAGTGTTTTTTGCATTTACATAGCCACAAAAAATGAGTTCATACTCTCACTCAATTGGGTTGTAGACATCTCTACAAAAAATGTGTTGCACATGAATGCCAGAACCCATTGCTCATGAATGCCATACAGTCTGATTAACCATCAATTCTCTTTTAAATTGTAGCGATCAATGATTATTTGCTAACACGATTCAAACTCTTGTATTGTCTCGGAATTATGGATGCACTTATGAAAATCAACACTAAAACTTTTTCCATGTTCCACATATACATGGCACAACTTCTCTGGTACTTTCTTCAAAATGTGCCATAGGCAAAGATGATGGCAAGTATTTGCAAAAACTCATATTATGATTGCTCCCATCATAAGATCTTGATAAGTGATTATTGAATTTGGATGATGGCCAGACATTGTTTGAAGCCATGTCTAAAATAGCCAAACAAATGGCTCTTCACTTTCATCAACTAGTAAAGCGCAACCAAATAATACAGATTAACTATGGTGGTTTACTCTTATAAATGGTGCAAAAGGCATTCGATACTTGTTTGTCAAATAGGTTGTGCCAAACACAACATCCCCAAAATATCGATAGTTCATCATTGATCTAGCATCGACCCAAAATATTCTAGTCAAATGTCCATTCTCATCTACTTGCATCGCATAGAAAAACACAGGATTCTCAAATTGCATATTTCTAAAGTATTCAAAGACAAGTTGAATATCTCCTTTGCCGAATTTTGGTAATGTAATTTTGACAATGACGATTAGTGAATGCAAGATTGTCACTTCCACCCACTTCTTGGCTAAGCACATACATTATAAGGCATGGACGTAATCATGTACTGGCGTATGTGTCTATAATATGTTGTGCCTTGTTGGTCATCTTCTATGTGATCATAGATATTTTGGTCATCTTCTTATGTGATCATAGATATTAAACTTCTCCAGGCTTCGCTAGCAAATGGTTGTGATCTTTGCCTTATACCATCATCATTGCCTTACATCCTTCTCGAGTTATTGCACGTGGCCTTTTGACTCTGTTTTCATTGTCCATATAGTTCTTCTCTCATAATCCTTGTTTTGAACAAACAAATCTTCCAGCATTAGCAATTCCATCATGAGTATAATAAAAGGTACTGGCACACATACGAAAACCTCCCGCCTAGCATATTCATTATAAAACTCCTTCACAGATTCCAAAGATTCAAATTACATTCCTTCAAATGTCTTTATACTCGAAATTGCGGGTAGGAGATTATGTCGCCGTCTTGATTTTATGTGCAAATAAATCAATAAGTTAGCAGAGTATGGGTCCTGCCAAATTACGCTCCGAGGGAGAATCGGGTCCTAAGCCCTTATCTCTCTCGGATCAACGACAAAGCCGACTTCCCTACTCTCTTAACCTTGAAACTCAACCTAGAAGGTTTTGAAAGGGGTTTGAAGATAAAAAGTGATTTTAGGAAAATAGATATAAAAAGAGAATAAAAAAAAAATCCATAGATAAGCAGCTAAATTAGAAGGATGTAAGTAAACATGAGTAAAAAATCTAACTACTAGATGCAAGAAGAACAAAAAATTAAAAAGCATAGAAGCAAAAGAAGGAAGACTAATCTAAACATGCATAACATAAGATGAAAGAGAGGGATATTACCATGAAGATGCGGGTGTGGTTGCAAAGAAGGAAGATGAGATCCTCATTGACGAGACAAAGAGATATGAGTATAAAATGCAAGTAAAAATAAAAATACAACATGATGAGAAGTAAAATAGAAGAAGGGAAAATGAAAGATGGCCTATGCTAATATATAATATGCAACAAAAGTAATAAGAATAAATAAAAGAAAGAAATAAAAGGAAAGAGCATGAGGAGGAGGGTTAACACGACATATGTAGAGAGAAATAAAGAATGGTTCATTAAAAAGGGAAAGAGGATGGTAAGACCAAATAAGTAGCAAAAGATAATGAAAAAAGTGAGAAAGGAAGATGTAATTAAAAGAAAATAGGAATGACTAACCTATTGAACAAAATACAAGGGAAATAGATGAAACAAATACAAAAGAGAATGGAGAGAGAGGTGTGAACGGATATGATTCACATCACAAAATAAGGGGAAAAAAAAAAAAAGGGTAAAGTAAAATATCCCTAATTACAAGAGTGAGCTCAACGCATTTGAAAAGAAGGAAATAAGAGAAAACCATAAAAGAAAGCAGAAACTTCCACTAGAACCATAACAAAAATTGGATAAATTAAAACCAAACTTAATCTATACAAATAGTCCAAGGCATCAACAACAAAATACATAACTTCACAAACAACAATTACAAGGCCAACGACCATCTAACACCTAAAATCTAAAGGGAGTTATCTCGCCAAGCTCGGGTCTTCAACCGCCAGTAACGAACACTACCCGTACGTCCTCGACCTGCAGCTAGTAATTTACAAGGATGGAAGCAAACAAAATGAGCTATAAATCCCAGTAAGTAGATCAAACATCATGCTTCCCAGCCTATGAATATCATTTACAACAATGTACAAGGTTCTATACTGTTGTTATAAAACATGAGTCATGTGTCATAATCATATTCATTAGTGTGTCGTGCATGGTTCATAGTGAAGCGATAAC